AAGAAGAGGAAGCATCATCTCCCCTTGCCCTTAGGTTCAGCTGGAGGAGGTGCTCTGGGAGGTAGGGCAGCGATGGTTCCTTCCCTCCAGACTGCTTAAGTAGAGGAGATTGGCAATAATGAATACATACATCTTTAAAGCTGAGCAGTCCTATCCAGCCATATGCTAATTAATTCACTAGTTAGAGGAGGCCCAAGGGCTCCCAGCTGCCAGCTGGACTGTGATGAAGTCAGCTGCCAACAAGTCTTCCGCTGGGGACTCTAAATCCATTCTGTACCAGATAGTTCTGAGATGAAGTCCTCACCTGGGAAGATGTCAGAAACTCACCACCTATTTAGAAAAGGTTCTATGCCTATGGAACCTGGAAAACAAGCAACTCTTCCTCATGGGACCCTTTTGTTTGAAAGCTCACACACGCAGTGTGTCCCTGTCAGTGCCCGGGCGTGCAAAGCACAGGAGTCTTGGAGACTTTGAAAATGAGGGTGTCCCCCTCCCCAACCCCTAGTCCTTAATTGCTCAACTGAAAACCAGCTCTCAATAAGGCCTCCTAGTAATTCGTAGGATCCAGCCCTGAAGGGGGCCAGCAAAGAAACCAGAACTGAGAGCCAGAGAGCAAGCCCCCAGACCTCTGCCCACCTGGGAAATGGGGGAGATACAACCAGCTAAGCTTAGTGGGTGACATGGTGAATGGAGCCCTGCCTGGGACAGGGTCTCAAGTGTGGTGGCGAAAGCTCTCTCCAGTTCCGAGATCGGAACTTCCCCCTGCACTGGTTCTCAGTCCAGGGAGTTTGTACCCAGGGTCCTGCTCATGAATCAGCGGACAAGACTAGAAGGTCGGTGATGGCCATAGCCTCCATGAAGACACTGAGGCCTAAATTCACAGAGCTGCTATCAGCAGCCCACCCCCAAAAAAGCCAGCAACTAGATGAGACCTCATTGGTCAGGACCCCAGTCTAGCATTTGGCTTCCCAGACCCCACCAAGCTCTGCCTTTTTTGAGCCCACAGTCAGTGGTCAAGAGCTCCCTTTCCTCTACCTGAGAAGCTCACTTTAGTTTTGTTTTTATGTGATTTACCTGGGCCCCTGCCATGCGAAGCTAATGCTTTTGATACCAAAGTCAATAGATAGCAGATTACACAATCCACAGACGAAGAGAACTTGGCATGGTCCCCAGGGAAAGCAAGTGACACAGATGCACACGTATGAGAACTACAGGGAGTGAGGGGTACCAACTGAGCAGGAGTCAACCCTGGGCTGCACAGATTGAATCGGTACATGGGGGCTCGGGTACAGTGCCCCTTAAAGAAATAGCATCTTCTATAAGGTACAGGACCATGATTCTCATAAGAGCCCTGAGGGCTGTAGTCACCCAGAGCTGGGCCTGCCCCTGATTCAGCAGGTCCAGGTAGGGCCGAGAATATAGGCTAACAGGTGCCCAGGGGCTGCCAAGACCACATGGAGAGCTCCGATGTGGGTTATGCGCCCTGCTCTGGAACTTAGCTGCCTGAGTTTAAATTCTTGTGTAGTGTAAATAAGTTATCTAACCTCCTAGAGCCTCAGTTTTCCTTACCTGCCAGATGACACCGGCCTCACCAACTATGGTGTGGCTAGAATGATCTGTACCCCTAGAAGTGGCCACAGTGCTCGTTAGTTTTTGGGGTCCTATCCAAATACCCTCAGGAGGAATGGAAGAGCACCATACAGTTATTGTTTAAATGGAATAAAATAATTCTAGTTTCTGGGACTGCAAAGTAGTAGCACAAAGGAAGTCAGAGGATGGCCACTGGTCACTATTGGTCCTGCCTTTGGGCCGACTAAAATCTTCATGCAAACAGATGTGTGTGGAGCTTAGGGTGGAGCCTGGTACTCTGACTGTAAAATGCCATGCAAGCCATAAAACCTCCCTCGGTTTGTTTTCCCTCCTGTATAATTAAGAAAATAACATCCTCTTAGTGTACTAATCATGTTGTCACAATGTGCACAAAATGCTTTGAATGTTGAATGCACGAAGCAAGCGTAAATGACAACTCTTTCATAAACCACAGGAGTGTAGCAGGGACACCCCCGGGTACTCAAGAGCTTTGAAACTGGGCCATCTCTTCTCCTGCTTGTGACTTGCCCATCAGGAAAGCTCGAGGCCTTCCTTCCTGGTTGCTTCAGTTACAGTGAACAAGCACAGCCTTTCCCACCTTCAATTCCATCAGTATTTGTGTCCTGGAATTGAGAAAAGAAGCCTTTCAGTTATTTTTCAGTTACATCAAAGAGCATGATCCACTTGGTGCAACCAAAGCTTTCTGCACATGCCTGTGGGCTGCTTCTTGAAGGAACTGGTGTCCTAATGGCAAAGAGATGGCGTGGTATAATAGAGGAAGAAAGGGTGTGACATCAGATTTGATTTTCGTTAGAGTTTCTGTTCCCAGCAATCAAGTGGCAGCGTTGTGTGAGAGGCAGGGCTCTGTCCTTGGATTCTCCCACAAAAGATTTAAGTGGAGGTCGGACGCTCCAAGAAGGACAGCAGGCAAAGAGTAGCAAACAGAAGCAGAAGCAATTTTATTAAGTAAAGCAAGCAAGCAAGCGCAGTACACTTGGGAGAGAGTCCACACGGGCAGCTCGATGTAGAATCAAGTGTCCGGACAAGTCAAGGGTTGGGGTTTACACAGGCCATACAGTTTGTTTTCCTTCTGTCTCTCCTACCTCAAAGGGCACGAATTTTCTGCTCCTCTTTTAGACCCGCCTACTCCAAGCCGGGGCCTGCGCAGTGTGTACCCGTCGATGGGAAGTTGTACACCTGCGCCCTGAAGATTTTGAGGGTAGACGCTTGCCCAGTTAACTAATTTTGCCCATACCGATTGAGCGACCCGGAGTAAGGTCATTAATGGTCATTTGCATTTAACTGACCAGGGGAAACGCGGTGGGGAGAAGAGGGTGAGGAGGGTGCCAGGCGCTGCTAGCCTTTTTTGCCTGCCTGTCTGGCTTCTGACTTGGGGGAATGTGGGAGGCTCCACAGGCGAGCCAGACCTATGGCTGTATATTTTCTTATGTTGAGCTGGGCTTGGGGCCTCGTTAACCCTTCATTGTCCTTCTCCCTCCAGCTCATATCTACCTCTCTACCTACCCTGTCACCTCCACTTTGGGGAAAGTTACTGCATACCTCAGTTTCCCCATCTGTAAAATGGGGGTGTCCATCTCATAAGATTGTTGGGAGGAAATGACCTGTCAAGTGTGCATGAAGTGCCCACTCTTGTGTGCATGCAGCACTCAGTAGATAGTAAAGCTTTGGTCTAGCAAGCGAGCGCCGCCCGGGGCCTCCCAGAGCCTGTGCAGCTCCGCCTTGCACAGCGGACCTCCTGTGCCTCCTCAGTGCACCTGGGACACGGCGAGCATGCATCGCACCCTCACAGACTGCTGGAGGTATCCATGAGATCATGGTGGGTCTTGCACCCAGCAGTTGTTCCTCATAATTGTCATTGTTCTTTTTATTATTACTCGTCAGTGATTATGACCCCTGAGTCAAGTCCAGGATGGACATGCCTTCTGGAGAATTCCACTCTGTCACCAGGAGCACTGTGGTGCATTTCCCTTTTGAGGCCAGTGTGCAATGCCCAACAGTGATGTAACTCCAGTGTGAAGCCTCTGCCTCCCCAGATGCATGACCAGCTGTTTCCAATGAATGTTTCTCAAACTTGAATGTGCACACTCATCACCAGGGGTCCTGTTAAGAAACAAATCCTGATGTAGCAGGTCTGTGGTGAATTCCAAGATTGCCTTTCCAGCAAGCTCCTGGGGACCCCACCCACATTGAGCTGCCAAGTCTGTCTCTGCCCATTATTCCAGGGCCGGCCACCAAGGGGGTGCTGAGCCAATGCAACAGCCTGGGGCACCCTCGTTGACAGCTGTAAGAATCAACAAACAGATCATTCCTAAAAACTCAAGTTGTTTGCCCAATGTAGAGAATGCCAGCCATCTCTAACACGTACTGGCACATTTATAAATTGTGTGGATTAACAAACCTCAAAGACTTTATGGGGTAAATCCTATCTTTGCATTGAATATAAGTATAACTATAGTAAACCACATGCTTACAGTTCTCAGAATCCTCCTGAGGAAGATAAGTGTACTCTGTGGAGAGCCCCTACCTGCCTGGACCTACAATCCAGAGTCAATGCTGCCTCAAACTCAGACTCCACCCTCTTTCTTTTTAATAGAGACCTTGTGTGGAAATTTCTGTCTATTTTCTGGGACTACAGTTTCCACCAACCTTCCCTTACCCATTATAAAAGACCTCATCTTTGCTTATCCAAAGCCGGGCTCCAAATGAAAGCATTATGGAAAGTAAGATGGATCAGTGGTTGACCATCCAACAGAAAAAACACTGAGAAACATTTTCATCAGTGATCCGTTCCACAGAGGCCAAGTGAATCGAAAAGATATGACATGTGTTGAAACAAAGGAAAACCTTCCAGACACAAAACATTTTTATTAGTGTTGAGTTAAACCTCATTAGACCAGAACAGAACCTGGACAGGACAACGTGCCATGCAGGGTCCTCTGGTGATGGCATTCTGTCCTGAAAGGACATGCCCACAGAGATAGACTTCTAGTCATGCAGCCTTCCTGCCCACTCTCCCTCTTACCCTCAGATGTGCTCAGAACACAACTGTTCAGTCAACACCAGCTGGAATTCACTTGGGGGAAATGCCAAGTAAATCAGGATAAAGGCATGGCCCAGCTTGCCACCTGACTGAGGGCAGGCAGCACCCGCCAGGTGCAGCAAGGTGTGCATTACTGCTGTGCAGTAGCCTGTGTGCATTGCCTGCTAACCAGCCATGCCAGTTGGGTGCAAAGGCATTTCATAAGTCTGAGTGCTGCTAGACTGCTCTCATCGTCCTTCTCTAGGCCACAGGCATGGGTATATTTATATCCCCAACCCCAACCTCTGTCACCCGGCCTTAGCCAGCAAGCCCCAGAAGAAAGGGACAAGAGAGACAAAGATGGCCAATATCCACAAATAGAGCCTATAGGTAGTCTACATAGGTTAATCTCTTTTGAGCTCCTCACAAACAAATAGATTAGCTTTGTTTTCAATGTCCTATTTGCTTTTAAAAAGGAAACTAGTTATACCTGAAGCAATGTCCCATGTTGCTTTTTCTCACCTCCCTGGATGAAGTTTGACAGGCTGCTTCCCAGTGCAATGAAAAATCTGAAGCTAAAAATCTGAAGTCCATCTTATTGTTCTGGAACTTTCAAAGGGAATCTGTGTGGTGTGTGAGGATTGAAAGGCAGAGCCTCCAGCTTGGTCATTTGACAGTGAGTAGCTGTCGAGAAACATGCACCTCTCCCCCGGGGGACCACGTACCTCCACCAGCACCTCCCCGGGAGGCCACTGGTTCTGAGGTCAGATGGGCAGGCTAAATTAATTTAATCTCATTTAAATCTCATCTAAATTAAGAAATTTATTATAAGTTTGGGAAGTGGGGTGGGGGAAGCTGTTTATCCTCTAGAATGGCAAAGAACCATCTCTCTAAGCTCTGGACACCAGCAGGGGCCTTTCTCAAGGCAGAGCAGGTACAGGAAGGCCCAGGAGAGGAAGAAAGAAGATCCACACCTTCCAGCTGTCATCAGCGACATTCCTTCTCCAACTACCCACCAAGTCCCATGTCCCAGTTCCTGGCTTCCTGCCCCCTCACTGACTGTCCATTACAGAAAGAAGGAACAAGGTTCCAGGGACATAAGCTTGGGGCCTGAGAACTTCGATGAGCCCCCTCTGTTCTGAGCAGTTTCACTTCTGTAGTCTCTGTTGATTCAAAGGGCAGCCCTTACTGGCCTGTTGCTTCAATGCCCCTTATACCACTCAGCACTCTTCACTCTCTTGGTAGAAAAGCTAAGAAGCCATCCCGATGACAACAGTTGAAAAAAAAGAAGCAAAGAAGCGGGAACCACAGAGCTCACCATGCCCTGCAGAGAGAAGGGACTGCCCCATCTGTCATGCAGTGGTCTGGTGGCACCCACACCCATGTTTGCAGCAATCCCACAGGCAACTGAGACCAGGCGAGGGGGCAGAGGCCAGGAGCTCCCAGTAAGTGAAGTCCCTGGGCTCCAGAAGTGGCAAATCCCCAGAAAGGAGACGCCTCTGACTCTAAGAGCACTGACTCAGCAAGTGTTTTAAATGACACAGAAAACTGCTCCGAGCAGGTGCTGGGAGGGCAGCAGAATGGCACCAGTAGCATGCACCCTAGCCCTGCCAATAAGCCTTCTTGGGCTCCCCAGGGCCGGCCCCTGTCCAGGGTACTGAGGAGGGCACGAGCCTTCACACCCTGCACTGCTCCTTGACATTCTGGTTTGTTGCCTAAAGAGCCAGCATGTTTGCCCCTCAGCTAGCAGGTCATACATATTTCTCATGTACCCATAACAGTTTAATTTCCTGTCCAACCTGAGTGATGAGCTTCCCCTGAAACATCTGGCACCTCATAGAAATGCAGACTTACACCAGGAGCCAGTCTTCAGCCTGTCCCCACTCCCTCCCAAACTGCTACCTATTTTATTTGTAGCGTTTTCTATTTGTGTTCAAAGACATGAGAATTAGAAGTTTCTGACCCTGCTCTCCTGTTATCTTCTCTACTGACTGGATGCAGATGTATAGATAATGCAGCAGGACCTTCCTTGCCATTGGCTGTGGTCACTGTCTCCTGGCTTGCCCCAAGCTGTGTGCGGGTAGCTTTAGAAATACCACTCGCAGAGCAGTTGGCTGTGTTTCTCCTGAGAGCCTTCTCTTAAAGAAAACATCCTTGTTTCTCACAGAAGCCTTGCTGACCAGGGTGCAGGCATCGGAGCCGTTCCTCCAGAATGCGCTGCTGGGAGGACCAACATGTCTTGATTTTAGAGAGACCACTCACTTGTCCTAACTTAGGGCAACCCACTTCCCCAACTACTGCAGAACTGGTAGAGGTAAAAGTGAGACAGGAGGAAACTTATTTGGAATATGACTATTTTTAATAACTGTAAAACTCAAGTCCAGCCTAAAGGAAGGTTGACCATCAGGGCATCATCTATTCTGTGATAGAACATTTTTGTTTGTTAATTTTAACTGAACAATTTAGCGATTTGACTGATGACAAAATCAGTGGCCATTTCATCTCTGCTAAGTGACACTTTTTACATAGAAGGGGAGTCTTATGAATCACAGTTTTGAGAGAAGACCAAGCTCATGCCTGCTCTTAAATAGTTTGGTGACAACTGTTTTAAAAATACATCATAGGAAAAATCCTGGAGGGAAATACAGCAAAATGTCAACTTTAGACAATGAGGCTGTGGGTGACTTTTTTACTTCTTTCTTGTATTCTGATTTTTTCTAGATTTTTAAAATAATGAGCATATATTACTTTTATAACATATAGTATATATTATTTTATTACTTCTAGGACAAGTATTAAAAATATATTCCCGTTCTATGTAATTGAATGAATTACTCAAGTACTACTTTCTTCTAATAATGCTTTTATGTACTATACATTCTTCATTTTTGTATATTGCATATATTTTATCTTTATTCATAGGAAAATTAAGTTGGGGACGCTTGCAAAGTCCCCAGCTCCTGCAGTTTACTTTTAGCAGCGTTATCCCTCAGTGTGTCTTACTTAAAAAATAACAACCCTTGAGAGGTCAGAATGCATTTTGGGGATTATTAAACTCTAGCCCATTCATAATCAAGAACAGTTAGCTCTGTTGCCACATCTTGTGTTTCAGTGTTGAAGGTGGGGTTCTGCAGGTCATTTTTGAGAACGCACAGTGACTGTTCTCTTTACAGGTGTGGGAGCCACTTCGGGGGTTTCTGCCAACTTCCCCAGCACTTCTGGCAGCAGTACCCTCTCTCCTTTCCAGCACGCCCATAAAGGTAGGGAAGGCACTCAGGTATTGATCTTCTGGAGTTAACCACCTAGATGTGAGGCGGGTGGGGGTTGGGTCAAGTGGAGAGGAAGAGAGGAAATAATTATCAGGAATGACCATGGAGCTCTTCCCCACTTCAAATCACCTCCCTGATGTGATTTAATCACACTCGATGCTCCCCAGTTGCTGAAAGTCAGTAATTACCTCTGCTAGGTGTGAAACTGATCACTCTATGGGTGTCTGGGCCCAGTCGAACGTGCTGGTCAGGAAGGCACATTCCCAAGGTAGTAGGAGTGGTGCTCAGGGCATGAGTGGCCAGGGCGAGAGGGAAACCAGCTTCCTGGGCTTCGGTTAAGCCTGATATCAATAGCAATTCTGTTGCTGGCTTTCATATAAACCTCCTGACTTCAACACTTTAATGTCTATTTCCAGTAACTACATTTCACCCTCCAATCCCTTTGGGATGGAAGGGTGGAGGAAGACCCCAAGGTCCACAGTTTCTCTCAGAGCAAGACCTGGTGCTGGCTCCTCCTGCCCTCTTGCACTGTCTCAATGACATCTGTTGTTTAAGCATATTTAAGGCTCAGGTCCTCAGTGAGAGTTGGGGTGCCTTCAAAATCTCACGGTGTACTCAGCACGCATGCCAGCTCCCCAACTAGTAGAACCAAGGGCAAGCACCCCAGGAACAACCAAGCAAACCTAAACCATGGTGTTCTGGAAAGGTCTGGATTTGCTTTGGTTGAGATCAGCAATGGGGAGCTCGTGGGCAGTCCTGATGAGATAGCCTAAGCAAACTTGCAGAGCTGGGTTCTCAGACTTAGCAAGCATTATTTGATTCTGAAGGTTCTCTGGAAGTGTCCCAGTGGTGGGGCCATTGCTTGCAGGGGCCATGGTCTTGAAGGATAAAGGGCCCTGCCTGATGGAAGGATTCCTGTTGGGACACTTGAGCCCTAAGTCATTGCCTTCTCTCCCCAATTTCAGCAGAGCTCTCAGGCCAAGGACACCTGGCCACGGCCCTGATCATTGCTATGTCCACCATCTTCATCATGGCCATCGCCATTGTCCTCATCATCATGTTTTACATCATGAAGACAAAGCCTCCTGCCCCAGGTGACTGCTCCCCAAAGCTTGCCTCATACCCCTTCCTCCTTGGACAGCTGCATCATCTTACCCAGTCAGTGAGCCTGGCTGCTAACACCTTTCTTTTTCTCCAACCAGCCTGCTGCACCAGCCACTCAGTGAAGAATGCGGAAGCCCAAGTGACCAAGGAAGAGGAGAAGAAAGAGGCCCAAGGTCTGCAAACAGAGTCCCCATGAGCATGATGTCTGTCTACAGGGTGGAGATGTTCCACCCCTCTGGCCACTACCCCGGCAGTCTGGCCTCCTAGCTGGCTATGCTCCATGCCACTTAGAACAGGGGTCTCAGGAAGAGGTGTCAATGCACCCACATTGTGCTTAATCCTTAGGGCAGTGTGGTTTAGTCATCAGACAGGTCTGCTAATGAGGAAGTGATCAAGGGAAGGACAAGCTCAGAGCTAGAGCTGCCTCTAACTCCTCTTTCCCCCAATCATCCCATTTACCTACAGACAGTGTGGTGATTTTCTCTGAGAAGGATGAATTTGAGAAGCTGACAGCAACTCCAGCAAAGACTGCCAAGAGGTAAGTCAAGCCAAAGCAGCCTCAGCAGCCCCCAGTTCCAGGATTAAGTCAGAGGGTCCTCAGGGCTCCTGAGTAGGAAGGGGTACTGGGCATGCCAGACAAGGTGTGCACTGAGAAGCCTGGCAACTGGCCTGGAGGCTGTGCTACGGACAGCTCCAGAGAGAGCAGGGCCCCAGGGACAGTGAGGCAGTCCCAGTAAGCATGGTGTCTTGGCCTCACTGCTCACTTGCAGCAGGGGCCAGGCATTGTTAGGGACAGGGATTAACATCTGCCTGCTGCTCTGGGTTGGCCCTCCTGCCTTCCTCCAGGGCCAGGTGCCCCAGGTCTTCCTCTTCAACATCCACCCTCCTTATGAAGACCCCAAAGCTTCCATGTGCTGCCTTGTTTTCCAGGAGCCTGGTTAATATTACTGCTGCTCCCGCCAATATGAATGCTGACACATTAGTGCTAATGCTAGAACTGATACCCCCACAATACTGTAACAGTGGTGATGATGGTGGCTACCAAATATTTGGTGCTTACTACCCACCAAGCATGAATGTGTTACCTCCACAAGTTTTGTGAGCTAGGTGCTAACATTATTTACATTTGTAGGAAGCCAAGGTTTGGAAGTTGTCATGTCCCTCTGGTCACACACCCAGTGAGTGGCAGGGCTGCGGGCCAAGTCCAGGCTGTCTGGATCCAGGCTTTGGACCAACCGCTAACACTTCGCGAAATAAGACCTCTTAAGGAAGAGGTTTAACACATGACGTCTTTACCGTATTTACCACACACACATTGAATTGCGGAATCATCCCCAGCTTTAACATCTAGGGTGGAGGGAAGTAAACTTTTTATTCACCCCCTTGTATGGTCATTTGGACTTAGTCCTGCTTAGGTTCCAAAAATCCACCCCACACACAATAAATGGTCCCCTGCCAGGCCTCCACCCCACGGCCATCCCAGGACCCCATCGCCCCAAATGCCCCTGTTGCAGTTGGGGGCACGGAGGCCATGAGCGGTCACCAAGCTGGTTATGCAAAGAGCAGAAGTTAGATACCTCCTCTCCCAACCCCTGGCCTGTGATCTTTCCAGGGTACATGAACTCTTGCAAAGCCTTGCATTTTAGGAATGATAATGAATCCAAATGTTTATGTAGAGTTTTGACATTTATAAAGCCCTACCAAACGTGTTATCTCATATAGAAAACTCAACATTTCTGACACAAGGGCAGGAAGCAAATTTAAGCATGACATTTTTGGAAACTGGGAAAAGAAAGTGGATTGTGTGCACTCAATTCAACAGTCTCTTAGAGAATGGTTGTTTCTGCTAAGTGCCTCCGTTCCCAATGGTCATTTTTTCAAAACCCGGGGAACTTGTAGTCTGTCCTTCCAGCCTTTTCTCAGTCTCAAGAGGAGGGGAGAAAAAGCACACTCAAAAGGGCAGAGACACATCCTATGACTAAAGTTTCCTCTAAAAACCGAGGAAATATTTGGGGACCCTACTTGGAAAAATAATGCTTCTTTCATACACAAGTGCTACATAAAAATTAACACTCAATAATTATGCTTCAAAAGACAAGGCACTGAGCTTTCATCCCCTCTGCCTGCTCTTAGGTCTTAGGGGACCACCTGGGGCTGCTCTGTGGTTTGGGGACAGCAGTGCTTTTCCACCTTTCCTGCTCTCAGGTGGGAACAGTGGCAGGTCAGCCAACTCCCATGAGGCCTGAAACTTCATGAGCTTCACCCACTATTTTTGTTTTCTTTGTATCATCCTGTCTCTAGGGTTATGTCTGAGTGTGAGCTTCATTACTGTCACCCAATTACTAGCAAATATAATTCTTTATAAGTCTTCAGCCAAACCACAGGAAATAAGCAGGATGCCTACAAAAAAGAATGTTGCTTTGCACATATTTGGAATGATTTGAGGATCTGAGCTTCAACCTACATGTGCCCATGGGCCTGGACAGTGTGCAGTGATGTGACGTGAGCCCACCTGCCTTTCTGTGCAATTTTCTAAAGCCTCTCACTTGGCTTACTGTGGCTCCCACTCCATGGCACACACATCTCAGCCGGGTCACCCCCTAGTCAACAGGAGGCTCCTCAGGCTCTGGCTCTGTTCAGCTTTGTTTTCAGTTATTTCAGAGAGCTGGCACGAATTCTGTACCGGCCACATCAACTTATTCGCTACATGAAGACGCAAGGTTGAACGTGGTGCTTCTCTTGAAATATCGCCAGCTGTAACATAGTCAAGAACCCTTTCCTGAACTGGGTGGGTTGGAGGGACGAGCAGATGCCATTTCACTTGTGTCCCACCACCCTGAGGCACTCCCAGAGCCCCATGCAAGTCTCCTCACATAGCACCTGTGGGCCACCCTGCATCCAACTTCTTTGTTTGGAAAAAAAGCAGAAGGCAGGCTGTCTTTCTCATATCCCACACCTCGTGCCCATGAGCTGCCTAGTAAAAGCCTGAGGAACCAGTCACTGCATCTCGACTGTCTCCACCAGTGGGGCACCGCTGACACCTCCCCTTCTTGTTTCCACAGCGAGAATGATGCCTCATCTGAGAATGAGCAGCTGCTAAGTAGGAGCATGGACAGTGACGAGGAGCCCGCCGCCGACAAGCAGGGATCCCCAGAGCTGTGCTTGCTTTCGCTGGTCCACCTGGCCAGGGAGAAGTCTGCCACCACCACCAAGTCGGCTGGGGTGAGGTTCTGGCGGCCTGTCCATACACCTTACGATTTACTGGTGCAGCAGGGCAATGCACCAAAAGACGTGACCTCATTATTGCATAAGTTCTGCTGTGTGGCGTGGTGGTAATCTCACAAGCCCGAGCCGGGAAACCTAGATGGAGTGACAGGTTTAAAGCAAGATATTTTAAAAATGGAAAACTTATTTCTCTCATTATATAATGAGAGAAAACTTATTTCTCTCATTATATAGAAGAAAATGAAGAATAATAAGCAAAGACAAAAAATTTAAAATTGCTTGGAATGCCATAGGACAGAAATATTTAACTATTATATATCTGGTTGTAAACATACTAGTATATATCCAACAGATGTATAATAGTTATATATAATAGCTATATATAACTGTTTATACAGTAATCTATATATAGCTATATGTAGATAGAATGTACATTTTTCATGTAAAAATGCTCCACATGGTTTGTCACCTGAAGCACACTTCCTTGGAATGTGCCATGGCAAGGGGTGTAGACAAAGATGAGCAAAGCCCTGCCCCAGGCAACCTGAGAGTCTAGCATGAGGTTTACTGGCAGCCTGATCCAAGCATCCGGTCAGCTACATTGCTAGGCAGTGCTGCTTGTGGTGATACTGTCCCTGATGGAGAGGCTAGATCTGGTGTGGGTCCTGACAGGGACAGCTCTGGGCTGCCCAGTTCCATGACCTCTGCAGTGGGGCCTATCACTTGCAGGACCCTGGAGGCCTATGGAGTTGTTCTGAGAGGTATTGACTCCAGTGCGGCATGGGGCCTTCCAGCCGAAGCCACTTCTGCACCTGTCCATCATGGGCCTCATTTCCTGGCTGCCTGCTGGAAACCGAGGTCTCTGACATTCATCCTTATAGACAGATACCAGATGCAGCCTCCGGTTGTCTAGTGAGTCTGAATGTCCAGGGGAGCCTAAGAAGTCCCCCACCCAATGGACATTTAAGGTGCTTGAGTTGGATAACCCAAAGAAAGCCTTTTTCTCTGAATTATGGATAAGATGTTCATATAAGGACGCGATTCAACATTTCTGATTGAAACTCAGGGGAGATGGAGGACTTGGTTCTTTGTTTGCTTCCATTTTCCTCCTTTCTGAAAATTAACATTCTCTTAACTTTTTTCATAGGTTCAAAGTCGAAGGAAAAAGATATTGGATGTGTATGCCAACGTCTGTGGAGTTGTCGAAGGTGAGCATAAAAGAACGGTTCTGGGGGGACGCTAACCCCAGGTTTTCCCCCAGGACTTTCTTTCCAACTGTTGGCAGTGAGAGAAGGAGGTTCCGATAGGAGTCCTGACGCTCCCAGGGAGGGACCAAGAAAAGTTGCCTATCCGACTTGTCACGTTCCTCATCAGAATGGCTGGCTGAACCGACTGCAGGGTGGAGGGACATGGAATCTGGCTCCAAGTACATTTCCCCAGCATTTTCTATGGCCCATCTATCACGGGACAAGGAGCCAACATCCAACCCCAGTGTAGGACCTCACTTTAGGGATATGTGGAGTCAGGATACCCAGGTGCTCTAGAGAACGGAGGTGGAATGAGCTAGGTGTCCTCCTGTGCCCCCCAGATGCTGTCTCTCCATTGCTGTTATCATCTTCGGAATCTTTGATAATCAGTCACTTATCCAATAGTAGCTGTCTTTGCCCCTCCCCTCTAGCAGTTTGTGACGTATGGATGGTCTCCCCTCGTGAGGATATCTCCTGAGCAAGCTGAGTCAGACTGTCTCACCCTAACTGCAGTGGGGTATGGTCAAGGACGAGGCAGTAGGACCCCACGTCCCAGGGTCAGCCTGTCTGATCCAAACTGCATGTCTAGGAACCATCAGCTGCCCAGTGGAGGATGGTCTGAGATTTGCATTCTATCACCCTAGAAAGCTCTTCTCTGCTCCAAAAGATGTCTTGGTTTTAAGAGCCCATATCCTGGGGACAGTGGTTTTCAAATTAATTTTAGGACAGAGGAGCCCCTCCTGTGAGACGAAGCGTGTGAAGAGCTTGAAGCCCTGTGCACTCAGCCACCCTCTCCTGTGCCTTATGACCGCACAGTGCTGCTCACGCAGCCGAGCCTGAGAGCCTTAGACCAGCAGTGCCTAGCCCTGGGCGAACGCTGGTTACTTGGAGAGTCTTACGCGACCCCCTCTGTCGGCCTGCCCTGAGGTCCTGATGTAATTAGTCCAGGGTGAGTCCCAGGCATCAATGTCTTTTGTTTTGTTGTGTTTTTAATTAAATTTTTGATTTTGAGATCATTATAGATTAACATGCAGTGGTATGGCATGATACAGAGAGATCCTGTACTACCCTTTATGCAGTTTCTTCCAATGGTAACATCTTGCCAAACCATCTCAACCAGGATGTTGACATGGATACAGGAAGGACAGAGCCCACTCCATCACCACAAGGAGCCCTTTGGTTGCTCTTTCATAGCTACACCCACTTCCTACTCCCCCACCCCCTATTTAGCCCCTGCCAACCACTAATCTATTCTTCGTTTCTATAATTTTGTCATTTCAAAAATGTATATAAGTGGAATCATGCAATAGTGTAATCTCTTAAGAGCAAATAGCTTTTTTTTTCATTCAGCATAATTCACTGGTTGTCGCATATATTGTAGTTTGGTTCTTCTTACTCCTAAGTACTAGTCCATGTTAAGGATGTACCACAATTTGTGTAATCATTCATCCGTTTAAGAACCTCTTGATTATTTCCATTTTGAGGCCATTATGAAGAAAACTGCTATAAATATTCATGTATAGGTTTTTGCGTGAACATAAGTCATCATTTATATACCTAAAGAAGTGGTCACCATGATAAGTCCAGCAACTATCTTATACCATACAACACTATCACAATATTACTGACTATATTCTCTATGCTATATGCTACATCCGCATGACTTACTCGCTTTATACCTGGAAGTTTGAATCTCTTATTCCCCTTCACATTCCCCCCGCCTTTTTTATTTTTCAATTACACTTGACATTCAATATTATTTTATATTACTTTCAGGTATGCAGCACAGTGGTTAGACATTTACATAATTTGTGAAGTGATGCCCTTGACTAGTCTAGTACCCACCTGGCACTATGCACAGTTATTACCATATTATTGACTATATTCCCTATGCTTTACTTTACATACCCATGACTATTTCATAAATATCAATTTGTACTTCTCAAGCCCTTCACTTTCTTACCCAGTCCCCCAAACCACTTCCCATCTGGCAACCATTAGCTTGTTTCCTGCATCTGTGAGTCTGTTTTTGATTTGTTGTGTTTTTTTTTGTTTGTTTATTTTGTTCTTTAGATTCCACATATAAGTGAGATCATATGGATTTGTCTTTCTTTGTCTGACTTATTTCACTTAGCATAATATTTTCCAGGTCCATCCATGTTGTCGCAAAGATTTCATTCTTTTTTTATAGCCAAGTAATATTCCATTGTATATATGTACCACTTCTTTACCCAATCATCTATTGATGGGTACTTAGGTTGCTTCCATATCTTGGCTATTGTAAATAATGCTGCAACATATATATATTGCAGCATTATTTACAATATATATATATATGTTGCAGTTACATATATATATGTGTGTGTGTGTATACATACATATATATATGTATATATGTATACATACATATATATATACAGAGAGAGAGAGAGAGAGAGAGAGAGAGAGAGAGAGAGAGAGAGAGAGAGAGAGATATATATATCTTTTTGCCAGCCGTCTATTGATGGGCACTGAGGTTGCTTCCATATCTTGGATAGTGTACATAATGCTGTAATGGACATAAAGCTACCTATATTTTTTTCCAATTAAGTGTTTGGGTTTCTTTGGATAAATACCCAAAAGTGGAATTGCTGGGTCATAAGATTTGGTTTTTTTTGGGGGGGGGGGTTGTTTTTTTGTTTTTTGTTTTTTTGAAGAACCTCCATCCTGTTTTCCATAGTGGCTGTACCAATTTGCATTCCCACCAACAATACATCAGGGTTCCCTTTTCTCTATATACTAGCGAACACTTGTTATTCATTAATTTATTGCTGATAGCCATTCTGACAGGTGTGAGGTGATAGCTCATTGTGGTTTCAATATGAATTTCTCTGATGATTAGTGACATTGAGTATCTTTTCATATGTCTATTGGCCACACATATGTCCTCTTTGGAAAACTGTTTTTGGTGTTAAGTTGTGTGAATTCTTTATAAAATTTGAATATTACACTTTATCGAATGTATCATTGATGAATATCTTCTTCCATTCAGTAGGTTGTCTTTCCATTTTGTCGATGGTTTCTTTTGCTATTCAAAAACTTTTTAGTCTGATGTAGTCCCATTTGTTTACGTTTCTTTTGTTTCCCTGGCCTGAGGTAATATATCAGAAAAAATATTACCGAGAGCAATGTCAGAAAGTTTACTAGCTGTTTTCTTCTAGGAGTTTTTAGTTTGGGGCCTTATATTTAAATCGTTAATCCATTTTGAGTTTATTCTTGTGTTAGGTGTAAGGTGCTCCAATTTTATTTTTATTTTTTTGCATGTATCTGTCCAGTTTTCCCATCACCATTTATTGAATAGATTATCTTTACCCAGTTGTATATTTTTCCCTCCTTTGATTACTACAGGATTGTAATATTTTGATATCAGGTTTTGTGATACTTCCAACTTTATTCTTCTTTCTCAAGGTTCTTTCTCAAGGTCACTGTTTGGGATCTTTTGTGGTTCTATACAAATTTTAGGATTATTTGTGTTCTGTGAAAAATGCCAATGGTATTTTGATAGGGATTGCGCTGAATCTATAGATTGCTTTGGTTAGTCTGGACACTTTACTGATGTTAATTCTTCCTATTGATGAGCATGGTATATGCTTCTGTTTATTTGAATCTGAATATTAATTTTGTATCCTGCTATTTTACTGAATTCATCAATCAGTTCTAAAAGGTTTTTTTGTGGAATCATTAGTTGTCTCTCTGTAGTATCATGTCATCTGCAAATAATGACAGTTTTACTTTTTCCTTTCCAATTTGGATGCCTTTATTTCTTTTTTTGTCTGATTGCTGTGGCTAGGACTTCCAATACTATGTTAAATATAAGCTGTGAAAGTGGGCATCCTTGTCTTGTTCTTGATCTTAAGGAAAACGCTTTTAGCCTTTCCCCACTGAGTATGATGTTAGCTGTGGGTTTGTCTTGTACGGCCTTTATTATGTTGAGGTATGTTCCTTCTATTCCCACTTTGCTGAGAGTTTTTATCATAAATAGATGCTGGATTTCATCAAACACTCT